AGAGTATGCCTCTTTGCGTAAGAGAAAAGTCTTTGGTCTAATTGTAGACACTCTTACATCTCGCCTTGTGGGATATAAAATAGTATTAATATGCAAGCGAGATGCTGAAGGCCAAATAACCCGCTATAAAGCTCGTCTTATTGCTCAAGGATTTTTTCAACAATTTGGCATTGATTATGAATCTACATATTCTCCACTCATGGATTCAATTACATTTTGATATATTATTGGAATGACAGTTCATGCCACCCTTGAGATGCATCTAATAGATGTAGTTACTACATATCTATATGGTTCTCTTGATGCAAATATTTATATGAAAGTTCTACCTGGCTTAGAAACAGGAACTCCAAATCAACCCACTCTAGGAAAATATCGTGGTATTAAATTATGTAAAGCCTTGTATGATTTAAAATAATCTGGACAAATGTGGTATCAACGTCTTCGAGATTATTTAATTAAAAATAATTTTATAAGTGATCCACTAATTCCTTGTTTGTTTATGAAACGAGATAAAACTGGTTTTGTGATCATCGCTGTATATGTTGATGATTTTAACCTAGTGGGCACTACATCTGCATGTGTTACAGCTACAAACCTACTTATACATGAATTTGAGATGAAAATGCTAGGAAAAATAACTTTTTGCATTGGTCTTTAGATTATGCATCTAACAGATGGTAGCATTTTTCTCTACCAACTAACGTATATTGGACGAATTTTGCAAAGATTTAATATGAATGATGCTTATCCATTATCCATACCAATGGTTAGACATGGTCGTGATGGTCATGATCCATACTCTCCATGCGAGGAGAAGGAGGAAATATTGGGAGACCAATATCCATACCTCGCAACGGTTGGAGCACTTTTGTATTTAGCTACATCTATAAGATCAAATATTACATTTACACTTAGTGTTCTTGCAAGACATAGTGCACGTCCAATACTACAACATTGAAATGGCATCAATATTTATTACGTTATTTAAAAGGTACTGAAGACTTGAAATTATATTACATAAAATCTGCAGATCCAAAATTGGTTGGATATTGTGATGTAGGATATAAATCTGATATTACAATAGCTAAATCTCAAACAGGATATGTATTTTTAAGACATGGAGCTGCAATATCATGGAAATCAGTGAAACAAACAATAACTGCAACTTCATCCAACCATACAAAAATTATTGCCTTACATGAAGCATCTCAAGAATATATTTGATTGCGATCAATTGATAAATTCATTCAAACAACCTGTGGATTTTCATATGATGATTCTCCAACTATCTTGCATGAAGATAATAGTGCTTGTATTGTACAAATGTAAGTTGGTTTCATTAAAGGCGACATGACAAAGCATATTGATCCAAAGTATTTTAGTTATACTCATGATTTTATTACTGATCAAGCACTTATAATTAAGAAAATTGAATCTACAAATAACCTTGTTGATCTCTTCACAAAAGCTCTCCCATTAAGCAATCATCGTCCACTTACTTATGGCATTGGTATGCGACGACTTGCTTTTCTTGAATAAGAAAGTTTAAGAGCTCTTTAAATAATTAAAGAAAATGATGTTGTACTCTTTTTCCTTCATCTATGGTTTTGTCCTTAAATAAAATAAGGTTTTCTTAAATAAGGTTTTAATGAGGCAACAATTCTTGATCTTACAAGATCACAGAAAAGTATAGATCATAAATCTATATAAATTTTATATTATGTAAATATTATGATGAGCGAGGAGGAGTGTTGAGATCATTAAATGTAGCTGGCGCTCTCCATAATATTTATTGTAGACTATAGTAATTACTATAGCTAAAGTATTTAGAGTCTAGTGGAGAAGTACTGTTCATCTTCTTATCTTCTCTCTTCTTGTGTATGAGACACAACTATATCAATAGATTTTTGTGTGTGTGAAGCTCTCTCTCCTTAGAAACCTTCTTGTGTGTATGACTTACTATTACTCTTGTGTGTGTATGACTTACTACTACTCGTGTGTGTATGACTTACTATTACTCTTGTGTCTTTCTAAACATTCTCAACAAGGTCTAAAAGTATTATGAGTTTAATTAATGTTGAATACAAGTCAAAAATACTTCAGAAAAAGATATCCAATGAGTATACTTTGAAAACATAAATTTAAGGTCAAATAAAGAATGTAGTTAAAGAACATATATTCTAAAGATAAAAATTATATTAATATATATATTTTAAAATATTTTAAATTATGATGTTTTCCTAGCTAATAATAGTAAAATTATAATAAAAATCTACAATTTTATTTTTATAACTATTTGTATAATAATTATTTTTATGGTTAATTGTAAAATAATTTTTATAACACTATAGAAATTAATTAACTACAATATAAAGATAGAAATTACCAAATAATACTCATTCTAAAAGAAAATATTATATTATTAAAAAAATAAAAAATCATATATTAAAAAGTGACAAAGGGTTATACATAATATTTTTCATAAAGTATGTCACATTATGTCTTATGAAAAAATAAATCTCAGTTCAAAGGGGAGAATCTAATAAATTAGTAGAATCCTCAAATAAAGATTATATATATATATATATATATATATATATATATTTGTTTATAACCAAATTTAACCAAATTTTCTATATAACAAATATTTTCTATATAACAAATATATATATATATATATATATATATATATAATCTTTATTTGAGGATTCTACTAATTTTTAAGAATATATATATATATATATATATATATAATCTTTATTTGAGGATTCTACTAATTTTTAAGAATATATATATATATATATATATATATAATCTTTATTTGAGGATTCTACTAATTTTTAAGAATATATATATATATATATATATATATATGTATTTCAATTAAAATATGTAAAGGATGTCATAACATATCAATTAAAAGTTATTTAAGTTCTATACTTTTATATCTTGTGCTAAAACACTTTTTTGTTTTAATGTTAATATTAACGTTTTATTTTTTTATTTTTATTCTCACTGAAGCTAATAGATACAAATCTATTTTACTAGTTGAAGATACTAGTATTATTAAAATTAAAGTTAAAAAAAGCTTTAGTTCTATATGTATTAATGAGAATATATATATATATATATATATATATATATATATACATACATACATACATACATACATATATCCAAATAGAAAACTAAAAAAACAAGTATAAAGAAAGTAGTTGTATAGATGAATTTTGAATCAAATTAACCATGATAGTTGTAAAACAAGATTTTGTCAATTATTATATACAACTTAAATATAATAATATAAAATAGTATTACGACCCATTAAAATATATATTTTAAAATAATTATATTTACAGTTGATGTCTATATATATATATATATATATATATATATGATTATTTAATAATGACTTTACTTTTAAAAAAATTAAAAATTAACTTTAAATGCTTTAAATGTCAACATATCAACTTTTATTGTGCTTCTAATATGACAACCATAATATTGTAGGCTTGACCACAAGGACAAAATTAAATAACATTAATGGGTGTTGATAATATAAATAATAGTTTTTTTGACCAAAGCAAAAAATAGTTTTTATATGAATGAATAATGAACATATTAAATAATTTTGAAAAAAATAAAAGCTCATATATATTATTTAAATTGTAGTTGCTAATATATCATAATAAGTATTTTCTGATTTTTTAAAATTAAAATATTAAATAATATTAGTTAGTTTTTAGACAAAATGCATGATGTTATCTTTTGATATTAGTTTTATGTTTTTATAAACACCAAATATTATAATTTATGTGTTAATTTAAAAAAAAAATTTAGAATGAATTATTTTATATTTTTTTCTTCAAAAATCATGTCTTACATATTACACTTATTTAAATTTTATCAACTTATAAAGTAATTATATCAAAAACATGCATGAAATTTCTTCTTCTATGTAAAAATATATAATTATTGAAATTAATTTTATATTAAAATATAGTCTATCTAATTTATCTTATATAAAATTATATCAAAAATTTATTGAGAAAATCCTTGTAATATTGATAAAAGTTAGTATCTCACTTCATTATCATTCTCATTTTTGAACAACGGTAAAAATTATTAATATTTTGTTTCAAATAAATTTGTAAAAATAAAAATATTATCTTTTGATATTGATCACATATTCATTTATGTATTTCTTATATGTGTCATTCATCTAGTACTTTACTTCATTATCTTACAACATTCGTAATTTTTTGAAACCCTAAAACATCAATGCCATTCTTACTTTTTACAATAAAATTACAAAACTATATATATATATATATATATATATATACACACACACATGCATATCTCACAACACATTTGAATGCAAATCTTTCAGTGACAAGATGCAAAACCCAATTGAAAAATAGTTCAACAGACATTGGTTGCTTTGAAATGAGTAAAAACAAACCCACACTCTAGAAATAGGATGAAATGTGGAGAAAATCTAGTGAAGAAGAGAAACGCAAGTGTTATTACATAAAAGTATGCAAGTAGAATATAACCACATATGCACGGTGAGAAGATGAAGATAAAAAAGGAGAAGTTAACGAGGAATGGGAAAAAGTAAAAGTAACTAGAGGAGGGGCTCGAGGTGGGGCACATGGCATGGGCACAGGGGAACGGAGGGGACAAGAAGCAACCATCGTGGGGAACCAACTCCCCCAAAACCCTCCTCTACACTCATCCCCCCCCAGGGCCCAAATTAGCGGACCCAGATCCTGTCCCACGTCCCCTAAGTTTAGCATACCGGGTTTGCTAAAAAAGCAGCGGGTCCACGTGGCAAGAACGGGAGGGGACGCAATTGCAGACGCGCCACTTGCACCATCGGACGAAGTCTTCCCACCCGCGCCTCTTTTCACTCGTGAGAAGCAAATAGAAGGTTCGGTTCCGAACCTGGGCAACTCCCCTAAGTAGGGGTGCCGCAATGAAATGGATGACGCCCGAAGTCGGGGGAGGGAGGAGGAGGGTGAGATGAGTAGACGGAGCAGTGCAGACCACCGTTGAGCGAGAGAAAGAGAGAGGGCGATGGAGGGATTCGGAGCGAAAAGATAGGTTGCAAGGAGAGCTTGTTGAAGCTGCTGATGCTGCGGCACCGAGTCCCAAGTCTCCCCCGCAGCCCCCCTACTTGTGCGCCAGTTTCGATGACCTGCGGTATCGCGCGGGCCCACTTTTTGTCGGTTCGGGCAGACCTCCGATAATTCTGTGATAGGATAATATGACGACGTAATCGAAAACAGTGTGCTTCCCGTCAGAGACTCGGGATTAAGGTGTTGTTGCTTGGAGTTCTCGCGAGTGAGCAGGCGGGTTTTTTCCTGTCATTGCCAACCGTGTGTGTCCGCGTTTGCTATGGTCGGACACATTTGTGCTGCATCCGAGGAAGGGAGGGGTTCTTTTGATGTGGTGGGTGTGATGTGATGTGGTGAGGGCTTTGATGATCATAACCCCGCCCGCACTTCAAAATTCTTTGCATTCCGGATATTTTGGGTGATCGCCCGTCTCGGTGATTGTGCACTCAGCGTGGTCTGTTTCCCTCCCTCGCTCAAGCCCGACCCCTTAGTCCCACAGCCCCTTTTCCTTGTACTTGTTTCTCCAAATTGTAGAGTCTGGAAGGTGCATAGCACTCTGCAGGTCGTGGTTTTTTGACTTGTTGTATGAAATCTTTGGTCCTTCGCCAAACGAGCGCTGCAGGGGGTGAGACTGCTTGTCATATGGTGCAGCATTGTGTTTCGGGTTTACATTGTGGGTTTGTCTGCGCGTCTGTTGACGCAGCTCGGTTGACTTGCTTACTGGAACCTGTAAACTTCGGTAGGGTTTGGTTTCCGCCGGGTGGGGGCAAAGAAACCGAGGTGCCATGGCGACGGCTCTCATGAGAGAGGTGCGCCCACGAAGTCTTTCCTTCTGCTCTTGCAAATATGGGGAGGGAGTGAGCTTAGTTGGTTGCGAAGAACAAATGGTGGGTTATCCTGTCGTCGAGGCATCTGATGGGTTTATTTTCTGGCATCGTCGATGAATTGTGCAGACTTTCTTTGGAATCCATGGGCCTGCATGGACGGGCCTGCATGGGATGGAGCATCCGCCTTATTTTGTCGAAGCTCATTACATGGGCTTCCGCGAAATGGAGCCTACTTATTCCGTGTACGGGGAGCCCCACTTCAGCCCTTATGATTCGTCGTCATTCCCTGTGGGGATATCCGGAAGTCCAAGTTTTGTGCATGTTGGCGAACCAATGTATTACGAGACACTTGGTCATCTAGGCTCTCTTCGGCCGCCCTATTCGATTCCCATGCATGGTTATCCCAAAGAAGCATCTTATGAAGATGTGCCCCAACATGGTCCGACTCGGTCGTCGAGTTCTGTTCCTTCTTACAGTGCTGCTCGGTCAGAAGCGCGCGAACCTCGTCCTAAGCAACAGAAAGTGGCGCCAGTAAGACCTGGTTCCTCTTTTCTACCCTTCAAATGCAGTCCACTTTACAGGATGTGTTTTCTATGTTCAAAGCATTTACTGGAGCAGTTTAATTTTGTATTGTCGAAAGAGTAAGGCTTTTGCGCAGTCTAAACCTGGTGTTGTTATATTGTTGTTTCAGGAAATTGAGCTGAAGGTGCCGATGTGCTGTAGTAAATGTGAAGGGAAAATGAGGGAGATCTTACGGAAATTAGAGGGTAAGGTTATTATTTACAGGGCTGTGTAGGGTGCCATTCTTGGAGCAGGTGTCTTTGAGTGGCGGCTGCGCTAGTGGTGTTGATCTTGAAGGGTTAAGTAGCATTTGTGCTCACCATGAGTTGTGCGTTATGTGGTTAACACAGGCGTGACGGACGTGGTTGCGGATAGGCATTCCTCGAAGGTGACTGTGATTGGCAAGGTGGATCCCGAAGTAGTTTTGAAGAAAGCGCAGAAGCAAAAGAAAAAGGCTGATTTCTGGACGAAGGATATCTACAGCAAAGCGTTTATCGACTTTATACAATCGAAGACTGGTAGAGCTGAGCCCGAGGAGGAAATAACTTCTTCCTACCATCAGCATCTGTCTATGGATGAATGTGAAAGTCATCATGCATATGAAGAAAGTGAGAGTTTATCGTCTTTCGAAGAATATCCAGGGTTTTACCCAGAAAGGGATGCTCATGCCCCATATGATGGGGATGCTCAATACGGAGATAATGAATTCAGCGACAGGAACAGAGGATATTACCATGCGTACAGTTACGGTAAGAGGAACGATCAGCCGACGTACGGAAGGCCTTCTCATGAATATATGCAAGAATCTTACGCAAGCAGGGACGACAGGTCTCCATACGAGGGGTATGGCGTTGAACATTACGATCGTTTCGAACCAGCTTATGGAGCTGAGGATCGACTGCCGTACTATGAACGGGAGAGCAGATCGGCGTATGAGGATTATAGATCGCCATATTATTCAGAATCCAGCTCCTACAGACCGAGCCAGTCTTATGGTCCAAGCGAGGGATATATTCCATCCGAAATCTCGAATCCAGGTTACATGAAACGCGTGATCTACTGAAACGAGTACTGGAGGCTTACATTGGGTTTTACATTGTATTGAAGGTTTTCACGGCAGATCACACTCATCTGAACTGCGGAGTGCGAGAGAACCTTGTCTGTCGAGACCGAGAAACTCCGAGAGAATACGTCAAGGTTCTCCGGAAAGTGTACAAAAAATAGGCTTACCCTAACACGATGACATGAGTAGTGCTCCGAAGTTTTGAACGCATGTTGAACGGATGTGCTGATTGGAGCATATTAGAATTACAATTTTTGATAGTAACGCTGACCTGATAGTGTAGTGTCACATGATGGTGATGTGTGAAGCCTGTCATTGACTTGCAACATAATGGGAATGAGACAGGGCATCCTTGGTTGGGAGGATGTTTAAGGTTCTTGTAGTTGCAGAAGAATGGTGGAGCGATCACCTGCATACCAATGTGATAGGCCGTCTTTTCAAGCAATTTGTACAACAGGAACTTCACACTCTCTCGATTGCTACTTGATGTATTGGTTTGAATGATTGGTGATGACGATGAATCGAGATCCTTTGCTACATGTTTTGGTTGCTGGGTGGTGTCTCCTGTTGGGTGAATCGCAGTGTTGTTGGAGATTGCGTGCAGGATGTGGGCGATGGAGTCCCCTGTTTGACTGCTGTAGCAAAGGAAATTGCACTCCGAGTGCATGATGGTGCGTGTTTTGTGGAACGATGTTGCACTTGGTTGTTAGTCCGTTTGCTTGGTTTTTCCGTGACCGATTATACCATCCCTTGTTTTTTTGCCTGAGAATTGAATACTATCCATGAAGTGGAATTATCGTCAAGGTTACTAGGGTTGGCTACGTCGTGCTTGAGGGATGACTGCATTGAAATCGTTACCTTGTCGAGATTGTGTTCGTTGATGGATTTGTTTGCGTGCAATGTGATAAAAGGAGGAATCCCGAGTTTAGATCCACACGCTTACGAACACGTCGCTGATAAATCCCAGCTGTTGTGAATGTGCTACTTTTTCGTGACGAGATGCCATCTGCCAATATGCTGTGTTGTGGAGAAGATGTTGGCATATTCATTCCAAGAAATATGGACTTGGTCCATGATCTACCGCATGTGGAAATCGAGGAAACTGATTGTCGATCAAGTTCCCAGCTACTGTGAACAATCGATGAAAAGTGGAGCTCCTTGACCTCTACTGCTAATGCGTTTCGTTCACTACGAGGTGGGCGGAACGAACTCTCAGTTTCTTCTATATTCTTTCTTGTCTCGCTTCTCTGTGGCGGATATTATCTGGGTGTCTTTGAATTGTGTTGGATCCAAGGTAGATATTCGGGGGGCATCGACAGTTGGGTGGCGACGTTGATGATGGTGTGGCATTTCCACTGTGGTCGGTTTATACTCCACTTCGTGAGTCCCCCTCTCCCCCCGGATTCCTTGCACAGCGTAGAACTTGACGTGGGGTCCATCACTTTGGTGGCCATGTATCAGCGTGCGAGTAGATCCTGTTTGATGCCAGCCTTGGACATAGTGCTCAACTTGCACCGTCGTGCGTGGTAGATCTGTGCGTCTTTTTAAAGCACAAATGGGGGAGTGGGCATTTGTACGATGGCGTGGGATTTTCTCAGCTTCTTTTAGTTCTTGCAGTGATTGAGCAGTTGACAACTTCCAACCTTAATGATATTGCTGAGTTGGCTCTAGTCTGTGTTCTATCTTGTGCAAGGTGGAGTGTTCCATACCCAAACAGAGCTTTTGTTAGAATTTTTTTGTCAGTTGTGGCCAATGTTTAAAGTTGGTTCTAAAGGTTTTCAGCAAAACGTGGCTACAGAATTTTAACTCATACATTTTTTTGAACTTTCTGAAATGAATTTTACTAATCCTAACCATGTATGTGTTACAACGCAGGTTTTTAAGCTAGATCCTCGTTAAATGGACTTGTAAGTTTTATTTTTTAAAATGTAAGGAAAAAGTCATGTTTGGTTGTGTATGCGTGGTATAAATGATTGATGGTTCTAAACGTGTTTTAGACAATGTTGAAAATGTCGCAAATATCGTAGTTTTCAAAGTTAGTGATGATTTTTCGGGATTTAGTGTTTGACGTGCATGGAGACAAAGTGGATGATTTCTTACGGTTCGTTTTGAAATATGAAATAAATGTTTTTAACAGATTAAGTCCATTTTGTATAAATATATATGGTAGTGTTGAGGGCCCTTGTTTTGCTTTGGAGGTATCTCAGCAAAGAGATTTATTAATGTAGAATAATATACAATATAATACTAAATTACAATGCAAATAATATAAGCATGAATCCCATAAATATATTTTTATTGACACCATAAAAACTAGTTAAACTAATGATAAAGTAAATACATGTGCACAAAAAAAAAAAAAAAAAAAACAAAAGTCATCAATGAAAATAACATGTATATTTGTAAAAATGTAACAAGAAGATCAATTTCATGCAATTTTTTTACAATTAAACTTCTAATTTACATGTGAAAAACTCTAATCAAATTATATGATTTTGAATTTTATTAACTAATATATCTTTTATATCATGAATGGACTAACTCAAAATCACCACCTTAATATACATAATTTGAAAACATAAGGAGAATCAGTTTTACAATTTAGAGTAATAGATTCAGCCATGTTGCGGTAAAATATATATTGAGTTTTTTTCACAAAATTCATTAGGTGTCATAAATGTAATTTATATAATTATTGTTGTAAAAGTTTATTGAAATTTTTTCAACAATTGTAAAAGTTTATTGATACTCATACTATTTTTATTAGATAAAAAAAATTTAGTTGATTAATTTTCCAAAATATAAATGTAGAATAAACCAAATCTTCCCACCAAATCTATGAAAGCTTATCTATTATATAAAACAACTTGGGGATAAGACAAAGAAGTCTTTTCATTGGCCATGAAAAAGAAAACATGGAGCACAAGAACATGGGGATTTCTAAGGCTCTGTAGTCTAGAAGAGACCACTCTCAGTCTAGAAGAAACTTTTACAGCTTATCCATGCCCAACAACACGAGTTTCCACTAATGTATGTGTATATATATATATATATATATATATATTTGTAAACCCAACAATGTATCTTTTCCAAACCCAACAAATAATAATTCCCCATAACGGGTCTTATTTACAAGAATCATACATTGGATCGAGCTGAATAAGGATGAACATAAATTCACCTTTCTTCCTCAATACTTCATCCATCCAGCGTTGGCGTTACACAGAACGAGCGACGATCGTGTTGCGGCAGCTCACCGGAACCCACAACTTGTCAGCAGCCATCGTTGTTGATCCGATTGGCGCCGAACGCGAGGCGAGCGTGCGTCGCATCGGACGGCATCTAGGGTTGCATCTCCGCTGCATGGGATTCACCCTTTTCCGACACTGAAATCTGGATGCAGTCTTGTCAGGAAGGCAAGCAGCGATCCGTCGCAAGCCGTCGTCGAACACGACTGATGCGATGCGTTTGTGGCGTCGGATCTTCCTGCGGGGAAGCATGCTGGGTTTACTATTCGTCGTGGTCGCTCAAACATGGACTACTTCTGGTTTAGATCCATTAGTTTCCCCGGTGGCTTCGTTTACCCCTTGGATTCAGTGAGTCTGTAACTGCTCTTGTAGTATTTGACGTGAAAAGTCGTTGGAATTGGCCTCCGGGTTTCATTTTGGGCAGTCTGAGCAATGCAATTGTGTGTAAACCTGCTTCTACCTCTCCATCCCAACTCTGTGGTTTTAAACACCTTTGGATTGCTCTCAGATTGTTTTACTCTGCGCATTGATCGAAGAAGTTTACTTTTGTCTTCGTACTGTTTGGTACGCATTCTGCTATCAGCTTTTTGCTAAACTTGTTCGGTATTCGAATTCGAGCATGTATTTAAGGTAGTGAATCCATGGCTGATCACATTAGTTAGAAGAAGAAGAAGAAGCCGGCGAACCATTTGTCATCCGTATCTTTGGTGAGAATCAAGCGGGAGCAAGTTAATTGGCATATGAGGAATGGAACGGAGTGACAACTCTAAAGCGAAAGTGTTCACTGGAGAATTTTGTTGATATTCCACATAGATTTCGAAGAATAAGGTTTTGAAGGAACCTACTATATGAGCAGCGGACGCCCCGATGAATTCATTCGATGGAATGCTGCCCCCGAAGTAGAATTGAAGGAATCGTGATTTCAGCTGTAGGGAAGTCATGTTGGACACTCATAGTATATTTTGGTGTGATTGGACCTGCCTAAGATGATCTGTGGTGGAGGACTCGCGAGATGGAAACCCAAAATATAAATTTGATGCAGTGTACGAAGAAGACCAAAGGTGGACTGGGGCCGAGTCGTCGTGAAATGGGAAGTTGATGATACCCTGAAGGAAATGGAGGTTTTATTTGTGATGGATTGGTAGGGAGAATCTGTAGCTTACTGAAAGAGACAAGGAAAACAGGATGCATTAACGATTGTAGATGTTGATAGAATAACGAGCCATCTAGTGGCAGAAGTTGGACGTGGACCATGCGTTCCTTTTCGGTGAGGTTGCGAAGAAGGAGAGGCGAAAAGCTCTTGGAGCACAGCTTGGTCGAAATGGATTAATACTAGAAAGAATGACTGCTACGAGGATGGTCGGATTAAGACTCCAAACAGCCACTCTGAAATCTCGAGAAGAATCTTTGTGGAACTGGAACGTCTCAATCTGGTAAACAATTTGCTGGCCCAGAGGAACGTCTAGTGATATGGAAGATTCAGCCCTGCTTGCCCGTACTCAGGACCCAATTTACAGCTCCTGTTTAGTTAACAAAGAACCGGGATACTGCCTTCCTTTGTGATGTTCAGCAAATCATCAATCACATCACACTGAAAAAGCCGCACAGGAGTGCAGAACCAGAAGATTTAGCAGTTGAGAAAGACATGCTTGCTAGTGTGACGCAAAATCCAGCGCAACGCGGTGAAGGATGCGTGCACGAGTTTCAGCCATTACATGTGCAGCTGAAAAAAATTCTCAACGAGGGTAGATCAGCCAAGCTAATTGAAGGACTATCCTCGTCCAGACGTGCAGGGGATCGTTCTATCTTGGATCAGTTACTTAGGCACACCATGCCCTCTTGAAGTCAGCAAATTCGACGTTACCGTGAAGAGGCTGGCATTTGCGAATCTCAGGGAGTAAATGATGGCGAAGAGTGGAGCAGGCGAGGCTATTGTCAGCGTCGTGTGCAAATTTTAGGATTATAGGAGGCAATCTTTTTCTCCACAGCCCCTTGGCGCCGACAACGTCTTTGTCAGGAACTTTCTCCCGTCGTTTTCGTAGAGAAACATTTTGGTGTGCCGCAGTATTTTGTGCGATAGATCACTGATCAGGATGTTCAGTGTCGTATACAGAATGTGAACACAATGGATAAGATTGTGACCATGGCATGGGAATGAGAGTATGGTGGAACTGACTTTGGTCTTCTTCGAACTGAAGAGCAGGCAGCCTCTAGGTAATGAATAGGTGATTGAATTTTCGATTCATCTCAAGGATTCTGATGCAAATGATGTAAATGAGGAAATCAGGTATCAAGTTTCTGACGTTTAGCTTCTTGTTGTAGGGCCGTTGTGGCTTCAAGAATAGTGTTGAACTCAAGTCGTAGTTTCTCAATCTCCATACTCTTGGCATCCAGTGCTTCTCGCCATCTTTACTCTGCGCATTCCTGTTCCATGCTGCTTGCCTTCTTAGTTTCTTCAAGCATCTGCTGCCACTCCCTCTCTTTCTGTTCCTGAAGTGCCTCCATTTCTGTCACCTTACTTTTCAGGTTTAGAATCTGCAAACATCACTTATAATGCTTCTCACCGAAGATACAAGAGATTCTCTGAAGAGCAACCCAGGTTTCCTATTTTCCCATGGAACCAGATCTTCGCTCATTCTTGTGTGACATTATTCTTTCCGATGAGATTTTGTGAGGAGAAGTGGCCTTTTCGGATTGCAATAATTATCCTCATTTACCAACAAGTCAAACTTATTCTAATATGTCAACACTATCCGACTGAGCTTCCAGCATGAATCTAAGGATTTTAACACGTGGTGCCCATAGGCAGCACCTGACTCATGCGTGGAGATTTTTGGCAGATATTATGCGCTGCTTCTATCTCTTGAGATTTTACCTTTAATCTGCAGCATATAGCCCGGAGGAGTCAGATTCCTTCTCATATTTCATCTTTTCTCAATGCAGTACAACATCCTGAAGGATTACACCATTTATGAATGATTACATACTTTACTTTGTTTTATTATTGTAACTGTACCTTGCCTCCAGGTTACGATTTGCCATCTCCAACGAGCTTTGTTGGGTGAGCCAATTCATTCTTTCTACACCAATTCTATGGTCAGCCCGTCGTGACATGGCTGGTTGGTACTCTGGGTAACTGCGAGGGCTCGGCAGGGATACGTGCATCTGCTGCAGGGCTTGCTGATGCTGTAGAGTAAGCAAGACAGTTTTCTCCACGGACTCACGGCACGTTTTCTGTAGTAACTCCCGAGTTAGCTCAGACTTCTCCAGCTCGCGTCGCAGTGCCGCTACCTCGCTAGCTGCTTTAGGTGAAACAGATTTGCCAACGCCTGGATGCCGAAACGATCCGTTCCTTGGCATGTCCGATGCTTCCTGAAAGCGTTGGTGCTGCTGGACAGCACAGCGAGGAGCTTCTAGCGGCGAAGACCTCGTCTGCTTCTCTCCTTCAATACCGTGTATTACAGCTACAGTGCAAGCTGCAGAACCTTCATTCACCGATACTGCAATTAGGTCATATAGTTTTTGTAGCCTCAAATTCAACTACTACGTGCTTTAGTGTCAAAAGGTAGCGCCGAAGCATACCTACTTCGGTAGATTCCAGCTCTTGAATCTTTTTATGCAAATTCTTAATTGTTCGATCTTTCTGACTTAAGACGTCTTCTTGAAGAGCAATACGCTCCTTTGCTTCTCTCAGGGCCTTTCCCTGGATGGCCAATGAGAGAAACACTGTGTGAGAATATTGAGGAATCGATAACATTCGACCTGCGTGTATATTCCCATATCCTTTGCCAACAAACAGAATACTTCATTTGAGGAAGGTGGAGTCCACAAATTTTTTTTTTTTGATGAATGTGGTTTCGGAGTGTGAAGTGGAGATTTACAGGCTGCAGACGAGCTGTTGCAATCCTGGGAGGAGGGCCAGGGTTGTTATTCCGTCCGAATGGAACCTCCGATTTAGCGGCCTCATCAAGTTTCTTAGTGATCTCTTTCTCCTTCCTCGAATAATGTATGCGAAGGTTTGCCACCTGCTCAGGACCAATGCACACGAATCCGAGACATGAATCTCGCCAACATCTGCTCTCTCTGAAGAGACGATCATCACTTGTTTGCTATTGAATGCAAGATATGTCTTATAAGGATCAGAGCTTTTTCTGCAAGCAACCACTATTGTAGCTAGAGAAGAGCTAAGGACTTGCGAAAAACGATGATGCAGGAGTACAATAATTTTTTTAGTTGTAGTGTACCTGTTTTTCGAGGTCTTTCACCCGGTTCAGCGCTGACAATTCACTTCCTGATATTGAATGCCTACTGTGAGTCTCTAAAAGACTTTTCTGCTTTAAGTTTTGAATGTATGTTTCAGACTCGTGTTTTAGTTTGTCATTCTCGACCCTCAAATGGTGAATGATCTTATTTGCTTCTTCGTCTCTTTGAAGTGCATCTCGCTTGACAGCGGTCAACTTTGTCTGAAGCCGACGTAATGCCTCGTTTTCTTCTGTTCCGGACTTTGCCACCTGCTTCGTAGCGTTTGGTTAGTTCTGGGATGCCAATTTCTTTTCTTCAATATAATGAGAGTTTTGAAGAGATTGACGCTAATGTTTCAAATCTACAGACCTGAAGTGAGTGATGATCTGTTTCCTTTTCCGCTGCACGAAGAGATGCCTCCAATTGCTTGACCTAGACGACGACCACAAGAAAAATTACCGAGTTAGAGGTGCGTGAATGATCTTACTGTCGCAGAAGATAAGATTGTGTAATCAGCTAAGCTGTCCATCTCTCTGATTAAGTCCCTCAACCTGATTTTGTAAGGTTTCAATCTGCTGCTGGGCCATGATGTCATTGATATCGCCCTCCTTCGTGTTTTGCTTCCCATGTGGTTCTTCACCCCCTTCCAGCTTGCTGGTAAGCGACCGAATTTTTGACGCCTACATCATTCAGGCATATGGAGGTCATTTGTGACACAAGATGTTCTTAACATTGACCCTAAATTCGGTGATTAAGTCATGCATTTGATTCAGTAGAGCTAGAGGATTTTGTGGAGCCGGGGAAACCTGCTCGGAAATGGTTTCTTGAAGTGATGCTATGAGCTCTTCCTGCTGTATCATGGCTTGCTTTCTTCCTTCAATTTGACCGTGAATCTCTCTTTCCGCTTCCAATTTTTCTACCAATGCTGCATATTCCAACTCCAGATCTGCCACCCTGCTTGATTCTTCTTTCGTCACTAGCTTCTCCAGCTCTACATACGCGTCTTGCATCTAATAACAAGTAGTTCCTCACCGTTTAGAAGGGGCAATATGTCGCGACGAATGTTTTTACTTGCAACAAGAGCTAAATATTGTAAGCTCACATGCTAGCATGCCATGGAGGCAGCCTAAAGGTTCATTAGTACATAGAATCTACCTTTTGATGGTCAATCCTGAGAGCCGATTCTCGAGATAAAGCACCTTGGAGCTTCTCATTCAAGGAAATTGAGTCTGTGCCGTAACCCCAGCCTTGATAGCCACTTTGCATATGTCTATTCGCGAGCTGAGAAACGAGAAGAGCTTTCTCTTCGGCCAATTCCTGGAGCTTTTGCTTCGTGTCCAATTGAACCTCTTTGAGCTTGGCAACCGCTTTCTCATTCTCAACCTTGTAAATTAATCATATTTGCGAACTTCTGGTGAATGTCTCATTAATCGTCATCAACAACAATCTTCATTTGCGTGAACTGATTAATTTAATTTTGATTTTTTTTTGAAGGTACTTGATACCTGTGATTAAGTTCAATTCCAAAGCTTTGGCAAAGCAACGACAGGACTAATTTATAATACAACTACCTGATAACCTCGAATAAGAGCTTCTTGTTCCAGAATTTCTTGACGCAAATTTCTGGCGTCTACTTCCGTCAGATGCATCTTCGACTCCGACATGGCTTTCAGTCTGTTGCAGGGATGCTGAAGCTCCAACTCCTAAAAGAGCCAGTCATAGCATGAGTCTTTACATGATCTCGCCAATAATTGAAGTGAGTATTTAGCAACAGCCGTTCACTGACATGTAGCTACCTGTAATACCAGTGAGTTGTATGATCAATCAAGTATTACTATATGTTACATGCTATTTCGTCTCGACTGCAGCGTCTATTATTCTTGAAGAGTTTCCGGCAAGATTTTCAAGTAGGTCACGAACAGCTTGGCCGCTGCTGCTGCTGCTTAAATCTCTCAAGACAAGACCAAATTTTCCTTGAAGAGACTACCTCAAGGTCTTGCCAGTGACTGGAACAAATATGCATTCATGGTTCAGATGGATAAGCATTATCGATCGCATACTAACAATCCACAACTTCATGTTTCAAGTGTGAAGGAAGGGTACTTATTCTAATAATAATAGACAAAATTAGGAGGATTTTGGTAGCTCGAGTTGTATAGCAACTGGACCTGAAGACGTTTTAACAAACTTCGCTTCTCTTTCTGGAGGCCTTTAGTTGCTTCCCGGAATTCTTGTCTTTGCGGTGCTGGCTTTTCAGTGCTCCATTTCTTCTCTATCGACCGTTGTGTTTTCACTGAATTCCTCTTTCCATCAGCAGAATGTTTTTGCACCGGTTCCTAGTACATCACATACAAGGGCCAGGATTAAGCTTTAAGGTTCAGGGTTCCACATACTTCTGCAACAGATGGAGAGAGTAGAGAATAACTTCTTGTTGCTCCAAGAATGTGTGGAATGCAGGTTGGCCACTTACTGACACGTGCGACAGAACTTGATCACCCTCGCAGGAACCATATGGAACAACTGCAGGCACCTACCAAGGCCGCATGAAGCTTTGATCCAGAGAAATGCATAACATACAAAAGGCTGTCACCTTCGATTGGCTCTATTCAAACCCTAGTATGATGAATAGGTCACATACTCGCATCAGAAAGAGTGCATCTAAGACTATAATTCGTAATGCAAATACTCACTTTCTTGACAGGGTTCGATCCACCCCTTGATTCTTGAGCTCCTTCTCTATGTTTTGCTTCTGATCTTTCATGGCTATATCTCGATTCTTCTGCTTTTCCTCCATTGTTTGCTTGTTTCAGCATTGCAATTCGATGCGTGACGCGGTTATCAGCGCCATCGACAGTGTAGGGCGTTCTGACCGCCGGAGATAACGAAGTATCGTTGGTGCCCGGTTTACAACATTTGACGTCTAAAATCTCCACTGGACCAGGTAACAAGGCTGGAGTACTAAGACCTTGCTCCACAACAGGACAACCTTGGCACAATACATACTCAGGTGCCACCATCGCCTTTCCCATTCCACAATTTGTTACTAAGACTTCTTCTATTGGTGCGGTTTTTCTTGCAATTTGCAAACTAGCATGTGAATGGAAGTCGCATGGAAACTCTATCTCTGTTTCTTCTTGTGTAGTAGCTTTCGTGAGTGTTTTCGTTCGCAACAAGTCTACTGCAGTAGCGGTCAGTGTAGCTTCCACTGAACGAATACAGAAATTCGTATAGTTGCTCTGGTCCTGTATTGGAGGTGGGCAGTAATGATTAACAGCAAAAATACTCTGATCTGAAGTCCTGGGCAGTAGTATTTCTCCTACAGAAATCTCTGCGTCTTTCCTTGAACGCATTTTAAAATCAACTGCTCGTGTCTCATGTTTTATCAACTCTTCAGGGTCTTGTGTTTGTGTGTGTGTTATACCATGGCCTTTCAGAGCGCAGATGTTGCCTAACCATTGTGAATGGTGCAAGTCACCAGCGGACCAGGATTTTTTTAGTGCAATCGTGGGAGCATTTTTCCCTGTGATCACTTGATCTGATTGTGTAACTTCTGGTGGACGGACGGTAGATTGTTCCTCTTGTAAGGCTGCTGTTGATTGTGAGACAGATTTTCGAGGATTTTTAGGTTCTTTTGATTGATCTTGCTTCTCCTTGGGACCCTGGAAGTTCGGACTTGGAGGCCAATTTTCCTGTGACAAGGGGAGCAAGTTTTTGCTTGTGAAAAATTTATTTTTGGATGGATCATAAGCAAGGAACGCTGCTTTTGCCGGACTTGCTTGAGTTTTGACACGCCTTTCCTTCTGTTTCATATCTGCAGGTTGCTTTTCCCTTGATTGCATTTTCTTCCTTTTTCCAGGCATCATGACATATTTTTGCAATACCATGTGCCTGATGCACTGCCCGACATCGACGCCCTCATCATTTGCGTGACCTTCGTGGTCTTCCTCGTCGCTGCAATTAGAAGCGAGACTAGTAGAACTTTCGGTTGATTCCTTTGCCGAATCTACTTCATTTGTAGCCAGGGTTCGAGATTTGGATATGTGAACCGCTCCGCTTTTCTCTTTTCGCTTCCGTCCGCAACGTTGTTTGTCCTCCTTCCCACATTCAATATCTACAGCTGAGGATCTGCTTGGGGCACGGCTTGGTACTTTCCTTCGGCTTGAATTTGATCCGATTTCGTAGTACTGACGAGACATTTTCATGCTGGCTTGTTTGTCAACAGCCTTGGGACGTGGTGTACAAGGTGGCGATTCCATGAAAATTAATCTGCCAGACACGCTTTTTGGGGATTTTAGGACTTCCTCATGCTTCTCACATTTGTCATCGGCTTCCTGTATCCTTGAGAATGCTTTGTCTCCTTCCTCTGCACCATAGGGAGATATTGGATCATTCTGTAATGCTGCAGCGCGAGAAGAGAGGTTTGAGCTGGATTTTTTCTCAGTATATGAGATATTTATCCCTTTTTGTAATGCGGCACTGTATATATCAGCAGTCCCCCAAGAATGATCTCCTGA